CCTGTAATCCCAGCACTCTGGGAGGCCGAGGCAGGCGGATCACCTGAGATCAGGAGTTCAAGAACAGCCTGGCCAACATGGTGAAACCCTGTCTCCACTAATAATATAAAAATTAGCCAGGCATGGTGGCACACACCTGTAATCCCAGTGGCTCTGGAGGCCGAGGCAGGAGAATTGCTTGAATCTGGGAGGGAGAGGCTGCAGTGAGCTGAGATGGAGCCATTGTACTCCAGCCTGGGAGACAAGAGTGTGTCTCGAAAAAACAAAAAAACAAAAATAATATAAATTTTTTAAAAATGAAGACATCATCTTGAAGAGATACTTAAAAACCCATGCTCAAGGCTGAACTCTGTGGCTCACAACTGTAATCCCAGCACTTTGGGAGGCCGAGGCAGGTGGATCACGAGGTCAGGAGTTTGAGACCAGTCTGGCCAACATGGTGAAGCCCCACCTCTACTAAAAATACAAAAATTATCTCGGCATAGTGGCATGCGTCTATAGTCCCAGCTACTCAGGAGGCTGAGGCAGGAGAATTGCTTGAACCTGGGAAGCAGAAGTTGCAGTGAGCCAAGATTACACCACTGTACTCCAGCCTGGGTGACAGAGTGAGACTCCATCTCAAAAAACAAAAGAAAACAAAACGCATGTTCATAGCAGCATTATTCAAAATAATAAACAGGTAGACGTAATGCATGTGTCCACCAGCGGATGGACAGTTAAATAAACTGTGGTACAGACAAGAGAAAAACATTATTCAGTCCTAAAAGAATATACAATTTTTAAATGTGCTACAAAATAGATGAACCTGAAAGACAGTACACTAAGTGAGATAAGCCAGTCATAACAAGATAAATATTGTATGATTCCACTTGAGTATCCAAAATACTGAAATTCATACAAACAGAAAGGAAGCAGGGAGGGGAGAGAGTGAAATTGTGGGGGAAATGAGTTAAATATTCCTGGCAACCAATTAAATCTAAATTCAAAACAAAAATTAAGATCAGGCATGGTGGCTCATGCCTGTAATCAAGAGTAATTTTGGAGGCTGAGGCAGGAGGATTACTTGAGCCCAGGGATTCAAAATCAACATGGGCAACATGGCCAGATTCCTGTAGCTGCAAAATAAAAAGAGGCTGGGTACAGTGGCTCAAGCCTATAATCCCAGCACTTTGGGAGGCCGAGGCAGGTGGATCACTTAATGTCAGGAGTTTGAGACCAGCCTGGACAACATGGTGAAACCCCATCTCTACTAAAAATACAAAAAACATTAGCCAGGCATGGTGGCAGGTGCCTGAAATTGCAGATACCTGGGAGGCTGAGGCAGCAGAATCCCTTGAACCCGGGGCGGTGGGGGGGACGGGGCGTGGAGATTACAGTGAGCTGAGATCGCTCCACCGCACTCCAGCCTCGGCAACAGAGTGAGATTCCATCTCAAATAAGTGAATACATAGAAGAAAAAGAAAGAAAAAATAAAATCTCCAGTCAAAAAAATATATATGTATATTTCAGACCAAGTCTTGCTCTGTCTCCCAGGCTCTGTTTCATGACAGAGTGACACTCTGTCTCAAAAACAAGACAAACACGAAAATAAAAACAAAAAACCCAAACAAGACAAAACAAAAAAGCCCAAACAACAGCGTGGCTTCCACCCTGCCCATCTGAGCTCTTACCTCTGTTTACAACTTTGATGCATTCCCTCCTGTCTGAACTTTTTGCTATTTTCACTTCACTCTCACCAGACCAGAGCTCCCTCCTTTGTTCCAACATGGAGTTAATATTCAGGTCAGGAAGAGAGATTCCTGTTTGTAAAAAAAGAATCAAACTGTACTGTGGCACCTCCAAAATCCAAGCCCTCTGTCTAGGTAGTGGGGAGGCTATCACAAATGAATCAATAATGTTTCACGAAATCACCCACAGACTGCCTCCTTCTGGACGCTTAGGGAATACTGTAACATGCAGACATCGAGCTCCCTTCCAAGAACTCCTGAGTATAAAGCCCAGGAGTAGAAAACAGGGACGTGGGCATCTTAAAAGTTTGCCATAACGTTTTATGAAGCTGGGTGTGGTGGCTCAAGCCTGTAATCCCAGCACCTTGGGAGGCTGATGAGGGTGGACTGCTTGAGCCCAGGGGTTTGAGACCAGCCTGGCCAACACTGTAAAAATGAAAAATACAAAAATTAGCCAGGCATGGTGGCAGACGCAGGCTGAGGCTCAAGTGAGCCAAGAGCACATCAATGACCTCCAGCCTGGGCAGCAAAGCAAGACTCAATTTCAAAAGCAAACAAGAAAGGTTTTATGCATACTTCAGCCCTGGTAACCCACAATGATGTATACTGAAGGGGACAGAGTATCTGAAGAAAAGGGACATTTCAACTCCAGAAAACACTATGGAGCTTTTCATTTTTGAGTCTACAAGGTTTTTTTTTTTTTTTTTTTTTTTAAGATGGAGTTTTGCTTTTATTGCCCAGGCTGGAGTGCAGTGGTGTGATCTTGGCTCATTGCAACCTCCAACTCCCGGGTTCAAGAGATTCTCCTGCCTCAGCCTCCCCAGTGGCTGGGATTACAGGAACCCACCACCGCACCTGGCTAATGTTTGTATTTTTAGTGGGGACGGGGTTTCACCATGTTGGCCAGGCTCATCTCAAACTCCTGACCTCAGGTGATCAGCCTGCCTCAGCCTCCCAAAGGGCTGGGATTATAGGCGTGAGCCACCATACCCTTCCCCAGTCAACAAGGTTTTAATCTCAGTCAAGTAATACAGAGGCTCCCAGGAGGCACTCAAGGGACAGTGCCAAGAAACCGAGGGCAGATCCCCGCTTCTGCAGGGGCAAGATCCTCACCCAGGGAGACCAGGTTCCTGTAGTTCTCCAGCATCACATCCTTGTACAAAGCCCTCTGCGCAGGGTCCAGGCATTTCCACTCCTCCTGAGAAAATTCTATGGCCACATCCGTGAATGTCAAGTGTCCCTAAAATGAAGACACGTTTTACCAACAGGATATGGAAAGGGAATTTGTCTTCACTCAAAATGAGAAGAGAGTTGGAAAGATTAACTCGATTGAAGTGAAGTTAAGGTATTTGTGATGTAGCTGTGTCTATAATGTGTTTTTTTCTTTTCTTGAGACAGAGTCTTGCTCTGTCGCCTAGGCTGGAGTGCAGTGGTGCCATCTTGGCTCACTCCAACCTCCACCTCCTGGGTTCAATCAATTCTCGTGCCTGAGCCTCCCAGGTAGTTGGGATTATAGGTGTGCACAATCACACCCGGCTGATTTTTGTATTTTTAGTAGAGACAGAATTTCGCCACGCTGGCCAGGCTGGTCTCGAACTACTGATCTCAACTGGTCCACACATCTCAGTCTCCCTAACTGCTGGGATTACAGACATGAGCCACCACCCCCAGCCTTTTAATTGTGGTTTATTATACTTTTCCATAATAAGTTATATTTTAAAAATCAATATAGATACTCATAGTGTGGGCATTTAAGAAACAAAAATAAGAGGCCGGGTGTGGTGGCTCATGCCCGTAGTCTCAGCTACTTGGGAGGCTGAAGCAGGGGAATCACTTGAACCCAGGAGGCGGAGGTTGTAATGAGCTGAGATCATGCAAGTGCACTCCAGCCTGGCGACAGAGGAAGACTCCTTCTCAAAGAAAAGAACAACAAAGAAATACAAATAAAAAACCCACAGTTTTCTCTACAATCTGTACAGAAGCAACAGATATTATTTTCGACACGCCAATACAAGTGGCATCTTCAGAGATGACAATATCCGCAGTGGCTGTAACAAAAAAAAGAATTGTAAGTCAGGTGCAGTGGCTCACGCCTATAATCCCAGCACTTTGGGAGGCCGAGGGAGGCAGATCACCCGAGGTCAAGAGTTCAAGACCAGCCTGGTCAATGTGGCGATACCCCGTCTCTACTAAAAATATAAAAATCAGCCAGGTGTGCTGGTGGGTGCCTGTAATCCCAGCTTCTCAGGAGGCTGAGGCAGTAGAATCGCTTGAACCCGGGAGGGGGAGGTTGCAGTGAGCTGACATCACGCCACTGCACTCCAGCCTGGGCTACAGAGCGAGACTTTCTCAAAAAAAAAAAAGGGAATTATAAAACTGTGATGATAACAATAACAATGAGTGACGCTTTTAAACACTTATGTGATAGGTACTATTCTAAATGCTTTAAATGTACTAAGACAGCAAAAGCCCATGAAAGAAAGAGCTGTGTCTTACTGAGAAGACAACTGTGTCACAGATAGTCTAAGAAACTCGCCCCAGGTGTAAGGGCTAAAAACGGCAGAGTGAGCACCGATCCCAGGTGTCCGAGCATTAGAACCAAACCTGAAGCATCAAACAATGACCAAATCAGCATCAAAAGTAAATTGACAATTACCTAATTGAAAAAAGTTAAAACAGGTTCAGGGATAAAATCATGGACCTGCATAAAAGGTTATTATATGTGAGTACCCACATGTATCCCATAAATGTTATTATTCACAGCCATCGACTCATTAATACAATGGTGTAGCACAATTTCTGTGGTCATGGAAAATATTTCAGTGTAATTTCAACTGTGAAAAAAATATATAGGCCAGGCACGGTGGCTCACGCCTGTAATCCCAGCACTTTGGGAGGCCGAGGCAGGTGGATCACGAGGTCAAGAGATCAAGACCATCCTGGTCAACATGGTAAAACCCCGTCTCTACTAAAACTACAAAAAAAAAAATTAGCTGGGCATGGTGGCACGTGCCTGTAATCCCAGCTACTCAGGAGGCTGAGGCAGGAGAATTGCCTGAACCCAGGAGGCGGAGGTTG